AGTCGGTGTCAGGAATTCCCAACTCAAAATTTTTGAAAGTTACCTAACCAAACGTACCCAATGCGTCAAAATTAATAACTTCCGCTGCGAAGAGCTACCAATCACCTTCGGTGTACCATAGGGCAGTATTTTAGGACCAACACTATTTTTAGTATACAGGAATAATTTAAAACCACTGCGAAGATTTTGTGAAAATAAACTTTAAGTAATTTAAATAAACACGTATTTTTTATTTTGATATGTTCTAATACTAAAAAATAAAGTTATCGCTTATCAAAGATCGAGATTTTAAAACTTCATTTATGGACACCGCGCGCCGTGCGTCAGCTGAGCGCTCGCTCGACGCCGCCGTAGGCATGTACTCGTAGGTACCTATCTACACGGGTCACTGAACGCTCATTTTGTTAGATTCGAACTAGATTTTATGCCATGATCTGAGGTGTTTTCTAAGAGTAATTCCAATTTTCCCTTCATACTTTTATGGTTAAGGCCATCAAAATGCAAAAAAATAAAAGAGAAACAAATTCGTTACCTAGAAAAAAATATTAACGTTATGCCGAAGTTACATAGGTACTTCTGCGTTAAGGCGTATTTAAAAAAATTAGAATCAACTACGTATTTACAATAATGTTGAATCAAAACAAATACCTAACTAATTACTTACCATGTATTTTAATATTTGTTCAAAATGAAGTCCACGTCTGTCCAGACATAAACGTGCACATTTCATTAAATTGTCATTTAATTTGTTTAAAACACTAGTGTCACTTTTCACTTCACTGAAAGCGTTATTATTTTTTATTGTTGTCTTCTAGACTTTGTGCCTCCTCTACATCTCGGCGTTTGACTTCTTCCCATAAAAAACAGTCCCTCACTTGTGAACAATGCCTCATCCGTCTCCAAGATGTTTACATCGCGGTGATGTAGAAGCCACTCACATAAGGTTCGACGTGGTATTGGGTCTAGGTCATGGAACTGCTGAACCGGCTGAAAGTGGTACGGATGGAGTCCGGCTGTTGTTAGCAGCTTCAATACCGCAGGCTGGCTCACACCAAAGAGATATGCCGCATCGTGGGTACTGACTCTGGGACTTCGTCTGTTAAAATGGTTCGAAGCATTAGGGACCGCGGGGTTATGGATCCCAAAGGCCCGCATACGAGGTATGCTCTTCGTCGCATACTTTCTCCGAATTGCGCTTATGTAGGTTCTCACCACTCAAAAGATAAACTCGTACATCTCGTAAAACTCACGACGGCGGGCGTGTCGCGTGCGCGGGAACGCGAGAACATGTCACATCGGCGCGTGCGTATGAGTCTCACTGTCGCGCGCGTCGCTCGGTCCCGGCGGGGCGGTGGGGGCTGTGGCGGGGGGCTACCGGGCGCGAAGGGGTTGCACGGTGGCATACGCAAGAGAAGACGTTTTCATTGAAGTTTTATTTTAAAAAATGTGTCCATATTCTACCGTTTCGATAGGGATAAAAATATAAAAAAAAAATTTTTTTAACTAATTATGGAAAAGTGTTCTATTACTGATACTGAACAACCAAAAAAAATTTTTGCACTGGAAAAAAAATATTCCTGTATATCAACGATCTCTGTGAGTTGCAACTTCCATATACTAAAATTATAACATATGCAGATGACACAGCTTTGTTATTTAATGATGATTCTTGTGATGAAGTCTTTACAAACGCTCAGAATGGTTTAAATACAGTATCAAATTGGCGTACCGAGAATATTTTGACAGTAAATATTTAAAAAACACAATTTCTTTATTTTTCATTAAAAACACTAATACAAACATAGTTCAAAATAATTTATTATTACACAACTGCATAAATCCTACAAGCTCAAGTTGTATATGTCCACAGTAGCGGCGTTAGGGTAGGGCGCGGTCGGGCGACCGCCCAGGGGCGCCGGACGAAAAAGGGCGCCGCAGGCCGCGGCGCCGTTTCTGTATGGTCGGAAAGTCGGGGATTTCCGAAAAATTAAACCGATTAAACACTACTTTCCATACTAATGCTGCCAACTTAACAATCTACCTAAATTTAGGGAAGATTACAAGTAAGTAGGCCGGGTGGGCGAAAAAAAGACAAGTAACTGATTTCGCCCAGGGCGCCAGTAGTGCTAAAACCGGCACTGTATGTCCAGAGATACAAATTGTCTCTTCGATAAAATACTTAGGAGTTGTAATAGATAACAAATTAAGTTTTCAAGAACATATAGAACTTTTATCAAAACGAGTAAGAAAATTAATAGTTATTTTTAAGAAGCTACGCCAAATTGCTGATAAAAAACTGATGAAAAATATTTACCAAGCACTCTGTCAATCACTGCTCACATATTGTATCACCACTTGGGGTGGCTCTACAACAAAGTAATATGTTAAAAATAGAAAGGGCGCAACGTGCCATTTTGAAAGTGAGTCACTTCCTACCTTACTATCATTCGACTAAGGATCTTTATCAGCGGTCGGAAGTCTTAACAGTGCGTCAGTTGTACATCCTCCAAACAATTTTATATCAGCATTCTGCAGACGAGTCTAACCCTAAAAAACTGGATGGAAGACGTAGGAAGGATCTCGTTTATAAACATCTCTTTCACATCGATTTATTTGTTTCCAGGGTGCCTCTTTATATAATAAGATATAAGTAAAATACATCCAGTATACAAACTTACGAAAACACAGATAAAGAAAAAGATTGGAAACTGGCTACAGAAACTTAATTATAACGAAACAGAGAATTTACTAACAACACATACATAAACTAATAACGATTGTAATAAAATATATTTAACCCTTTTTTGAATCAGACGCATATTCCCTATTGTATGCTCGAGTGCAATCTCGTTAAACTCGCGAGATCTCGCCCATTTTTCGACCGAGATCAATCTCGCTAAAAAAGGCTGAGATCTCGCGAGAACGAGATTGCATTCTCTAGTAGCGATGGGCGTTGGATCAACGGACCAGTGGCCTAATTGTCTAATTTAACATCAAAATCTATTCAGTCTACGCTCTTACGTAGTACTTATGAAAGTCGAAAACTTTGCCAACGGTTCGCAAAGCTAAGGCGGGAGATCTTGACCTGAGAAGAACCAGCAAGAAATTCAGCAAGGGCTGCTTTTATATGCCTGTTTATGTCACACAGACAAGTCTTAATGGAATGTAACTTAATTAGACTATAAAGTAACTTTCGATTACAATATCAGAAATCCTACATACTTATTGACAAATTAATATACTATACATATTCATAATAAAAGAAAATGGACGAAATTAAGTAGTTAAGAAATATTAAATTTCAATAAAACTGATTTCTAGAGTAGGCTGAGTAGGAAGTTAATCTATTATTGACAATATTATTGTAAAAACCAAAAAAAGCACGTACACACCGTACGAATTACCATAACACCTGGCTCGACGTCTACCGTTGACGTGCAAGTTCAGTAGCGATAGTATAATAATGTGTACCTTTTGTTGATTGTTGAATTTTTATTAAGATAATTTAATTATGAATATAAGATTTCATAATTGATCATAGTTTTTTTTAATGTTTAATTTCGATACAACTTATTTGCACGTTATACTTTGCACAAACGTTATTCTGGCCAAAAGTTATATTATTTTGTACGAATACCTAGTATATTTGATACATATCGGGTAAGTATATAGATAATAAACGGATTTTTTATTATAGTTTACCTTTTTATGACCTTTGTTGCTGATTACTAAACCCTATTTATTCAATCACCACACATAATATAAAAATATTATTTTAACTTGATGTAGTTTTGTTGTAACAAACAACTAATAGCAACAAAACTAACTTTACCTAGTTATCATTGTTTTCAGAACTTTTGTTAAATATTATAATAAAAAAATCCTAGACCTACTATGCCATAAGTATTTTATTAATAAAAACTATTTCACGGTAATATTATTGTATAACGTAGCTTAATGCCACTTCCAATAATTTCACAGCATTAATTCTTTTGATTCCCATAACTTTAAAAAACCTTCTCTATGCTCACTACCATTATTTTAGTTTCCATTTTCCTTTTTACAAACAGAAAAGACTTGAATAAATCAAAGATAAATTCGTATTAATCGAATGAAGAAATATTTAAAAAAACCATAAGTTCCCGACATCAAACTAGATGTCGCTACGGTACTTTCTAGATTTCTCCATGACAACCCTTCCGGTTTTCTTTCATGTATGAAATTAAATTAGTTTTCAAAAGTCAATAAACAACTCATATTCTATTCGTACTTGTATTGATATCTGAGTTTTAAACTGTTAATATCTTAGTTAAAAGGAAATGACTGTCTTTGGTCCATTAGTTTCCTGCAAAAATCAACTTTTGCTAGAGTCGCCATCTAGTGAAGGTGATTTTTTAGTGCTTTCTTTTTTTTAAATACTTCCTCATTATTACGTTATTATTTTAGTTAGGTTTTATTTTTTTCCTCATTACGTTTCAACTCGATATTAATATGAGTTATCAGATTCCTTAACAACACCGACAAAACTATTCTCTTTGGTTTGGTTAGATTCTACAGAGTGGTAAGTGAGAGTGAGTGTTAACGCGTTCACTAGTGAGCGCGTTAAGAATTTGTATGGAGATTTATACTTCTTGGTAGTTACCGCTAGGGGCGCTGTAACGGATTCTATACAACGCGCTCACGATCGACAGTGAACGTAAACATCAAAAAAACTTACACTAAGCATTCAGTTTGTGCACTGTCATCTAGAGACATAAATGATTACAGTTTCTTTACTTTTTTTAAAATACTTCCTCATTACTTCTGCCTTCTACTCTATTATATACATAGATCCTCAAATGTCAAAAGAAAAAAAGAGTAAAGAAAATCGGATGAGGTTCCTCAAAAAATTGTTTGTTTCCTTTGTTTATATACACCGCTCAGTATGAAATCACCGCTTTGAATAGGGACAGAAAAAGCAGAAAAAATAAAAGTTACTTATCTACGATTTTTTATTGTTCTTATATATTTTATACATATAAAAATAAAAGAAGATACATTTATTGGAATAGAAAGTTTAACAAAATATCTACTACTATAATAATAAATATTTGGTAAGCAACTTACTTTTTAGAAATATATCCATTTTCGCAAGTTAAAATGTTATTTACAAAAAAATGTTGACATGTAAATAAATTCAGATAACATTTATTCTTTCTCTTAACATAAACATAAGTGAAGGAAATTATCTGGATAACTCATATGTTCTGAAAGCCACTGCAATGGTGTGTCTAAAGGAAGTGTTACCCCATGTGTTCTCAATTTGACTGAAATAAAAAAAAATCTGTGTAAACTTATCAGCCGGTTTCTGAATTGTGGAAAGTACAAAATTTTAACTGATTATTCCATCTTCTAACTGATAAAATTTGAGATTTTTATGGTTCACAAGTCAAAAGGCTATCTACTGCTATCTCCAACTGCTATCAACAAATCACTAAAAAAAACTAAAATCATTAAGGAAAACCTATTAAAGTGACCTCAATTCAAAAACGGGATATATGAAGCATTAAAAAAATAGAAGGTATGCTTACCATCACTTTTGTCAGGATATAATTCTGATATCATTTGATGCAAATTCTTTCTACTACCATCAACATTCTTCGGACTGACTAATCGTTGATTACATATTCCATCATCAGAATATATTCTTATTGGTATGTGTTTGAATCCTTCATTATCACTGTGGGACTCCATGAGTCTCCTGTTTACTGCCCAAAATTGGTCAAATTTATCTGAAATTTTACTAGAAGGTTAATAAACAAAATAATAAAACTACAATAAAATTCACTTATAATGACGCCCAAGGGTCTTACCAGCCCACAGATAATCTCCAATAGATACCGCAAGGTGACTATTTTGTTAAATAAATAAAAAACCAATCTTAGCAGTAAAGTAGGTGGCAGGCAAAGTAACTGCAGCAACCCTATTGGCTAGTATAAAGATACGTATTCCGTAGTGATGGGAACCATAATTATTGTTAAAGACATTTTGATAATTGATTGATGTTGGATATCATTAAAAATATATTTAATCATATTTATTTTTATTTTATCCACAATTTATAGAACTATAAACTCCATGATGGACAAGACATCCAACAGTAAGGTTTCAATGAATGCATACGCCTAAGATCACCTTTAATTCATTCAACTTTAAATCAGTAGATGACAATAACTTTCGAAAAAAGAAATATGTTTAAAATAAGTTGGAAATATAAATGGGAGAATGACATCACATTTTAGATATTCAATCCCAATCAAAACGTGAATTTATTACCCCTATAGAAAAAAAAAACCAAGTTTCCCAAAAAAGAAACATATTTGCATTTCTTGTAGCACTACTCTTTCTAATTTAAAGCTATGATAAAATGCACTGAAACATAAAAATGAGTGTTGCGCCACTACGCCCAAATAAAAATATTAAGTTTAAGGCCCCCGCGCACTAGGCAGCGGCAGCCAGAATATTTGCGCAGCCATATTGATTACATTAAATTATTTATATAATACTTTGGAATTACACTGTACTCTCACTCCACATTCACTTTGTTTTTTCGCTAGCGACCAAACGGCGATTAGGGTACAGCTGAAAATCAGTATCTGTTTCGTTTATGGAACATCCAACTCTGAGCTGTATACCTTTTGAGCTACTGCTTCACACTCTAGTTCGGTGATATAAATCGTTGTCTTTTGTAATTTTTAATGTTTCTTTACACCAACTAAGTATTTTACAACAACTTATAATTTGTGATAGTAGTGGTTCAATAAAGCATTTATCTATTTATAGCAGCCAATCAACGACTAGTCTAGATCCTTCCATCGAGCGATATAGACGAGGAAAAACTTATAATTATTGTTAACCTATTTCGTAAAAAACGCAAAACAAAGAAAAGACACTGGATTGATCCTCTTTTTATAGAAAGACGCTCAAAAGGCTTATTCCAAACCTATTTCAAAGATAAGCGCATTCCCAGACCGGTTTTTTAAATTCACATCGTTTGATTAACTTTTACGAAACAATACGAAATTCAATCAAAGGCATATATACTCCTATGCGAGTTTGTATAAGTCCTGACGAAAAACTGGTGATAACTTTGAGGTGAGTACGAAAATGAAAGGTATTGTTAATTAGTCATAACGTTTACGTTTATTTCTTACATGTATGGTAATGAATTACCTAGTTCAAGTTGTCCTGTGTAGTAAATAATTCTAGCAATTCAGAACCCTGAGACATATCTGTTGCATTTATGTCAGTTGGTAATAACGCATCAGTATAAAAAGTATTGTCTTGCCTGTCTCGAACAGACGTAAAACACCCACGGCGGCTTTCAGTGGTCGAGGCTTCTGGTCTATAATTCAAGAGTGTCGTGTATCCGTAGCGATACTGCCCACTACTTGTGGTTTCCGGTTCATATCCAGTCGAGTATCCTTGACCTAGGAGATATTGTCCACTGAACGATGTTTGTGGTCTATAAGATTGACAGCCGATGTCCCTGGTTCGAAACGGACTAAATTCGGAATCGTGAGTTTCCATTTGAGCTCTTTTTATAACTTCAATTAACTCCATTTTTGTAGAAAGCCTACTATGTCTCGAAATGTTTTTAAAACCATGTCTCGGGATGTTTTCGAAATCATCTAGAAGTAAAAGCATAAATAGTCTGAATCAGACTATCTTTCACGGATTCTCTCCTTACAATACTTTCTCTTAATACCTGCACTAAATTATCCTCGTCACTTGCCTTCTTCTTTTGGAAACAAGTCGTTCACCTTGAATACTACCGCTGTTAGCGTTGGTGTCGGCAGCGCGTGTTTCATCCATACTATTTCGAGTTTCATTCATTATTACGGTGGGCCGAAGAAAATGAAATTGTTCGAAATATACGTATGGACTCTTGCGCGAATTTGCATCGACTTTTAACACCAGCTCTGCGTTTTACTTACTTGCTATAACCAGGCCTGATGTTCTTCCAATTGCTCTGTAGATTTAACTGAAAATTATATTTGTTCTCATCCTTTCCAGAATTAAATGAAGTGAGGTGGCTTGAAATAGCAAAAGGTTTCAGTGAATATGCAAACTATCCCAATTGCGTTGGTGCCATCGATGGAAAGCATATAAGAGTGATAAAACCTAGCGATTCAGGATCACTGTACTATAACTATTAAAATTATTTATCCATCGTTTTACTTGCTGTATTCAATGAAGATTACAAGTTTATGGAAAATGTAGTGACTCACCTATAAGTATATAAAGAATCCATTTTGTACCAAAAACTGTAAACAAATATATGCAAATCCCGGAGAAGTGCCCCATATCAAATAATGGAGTACCGATGCCATACGTCTTAGTGGGGGACGAGGCATTTGGCTTATGTGAAAATTTACTGAGACCTTATGGAGGTGACTATCTGGGGCAAGGCGGTGCATAAATTGCACGTTTGGGATTTTAGCCAACAAATGGAGGATTTTTCACTGTCCACTAGATGTCCGACAGGAACTTGCAACTGCCATAGTACAGACTTGATGTGTCTTATATAACTACGTGTGCAAAAAGGCCAGAACTAGAAATAATCGGTGGACCCAAAAATAGAGGCAGCCGATCATCACCATCTTATAGGAATTTAGCGGGTTATTTTATTAATGCAAATTCGTTAGAAGGACAAAACAGATCTGCATTAGAATATTACCTACCTATTTATCAAAATAAAACATTGAAGTGGAAATACCTAGTAAAGTACAAAAAAGAACAATAATATACAGAGTTATTCTGCGATACCTTCCAAAAATATTGATTAGTGTTGCAGAATCACCTAAGCATATTATACTGTATAATCCAGATAATAAAAATACATGCTTACCAAATTCATTTTTTCAAACAAATGTTCAGAAAAGTTCGTGATTTTTTCCCTCATCTTCTTTTCTTTAAATCGCGATCACTGTATTCTTCTGATGTTATATATCAAATTGTTTTACGGCTTTCAAAATTTCTCAAATAAATTTCTTTTTATCAAGTCATCTTATAAAAGTTCGGAACGCAAAATACGTCTGGCTACTACAAGTGCGCGTAGACTGAGCGTAGCCACATACAATTGCCTACACATGTTCTGACTGCGCGCAGCCAGCCGGCTGCCGTGCAAACAAGCTCGTTGTATTGTTTGATGCAGCCGGGAATTCGTGGTTGCCTAGTGCGCGGGCTTTTATACAACGTCATATATTTTACTGGCTGCCTAGTGCTCGGAGTCCCTAATTCTTCAAAAGGGGGCAAATTTGTCAAAAAATGCAAAAATTGAACAAAAGTTTTTTGGATAACGGACAAGTATTTAAATAGGATGATTATTATTATTGAAATCTAAAACTGCATATGTTCTGAAATATCTTAAACTAGTTAACATAGGTTCTGTAGGTACATGACAAATCGTCACCTTAGATCGTTTACTGCGTAACTCCATTTTTGGCCAAAGTAAGTATTTGGTATCATTTGGTTCGTTATTCTAAAACGCGTCTTATTGTCAAGGACATAAAAACAACAATTCGTATACTTCGTTACTCCAGTCCGCCATTTTGTAACGGCCGAACATCGCATCTCCCCCCGCTTCAGTATTATACGTGACGTGGACGAGGTTATACGTCAATTTAAGTTCAATCTGGAGTTAATAAAATAGTGTTATTGTGTCTGAGGTAAGATTTTTGCATATTTACTATTAGTTTAATAAATACTAATTACGTACTTTAATGTTCTAGACGAATTACACTAATTGTAGCTTCATTAAACTCTTCTGTGGAGTTAAGTAGTTGACGAATTAATAAATCTGGTTATTATCAAACTCTTCTGTGGAGTTAAGTGGTTCACGAATTAATAAATCTGATTATTTTGTAGGAGTTAGTAAGAACTAGCTTGTATTTTTCTGTAATAATTGAGCTTTTTCTTTCTAGGCAAACAACATTGGAACCTATTTTCAATAATATTAACCAATCAAGTAAGTTCCTAGGTACCTAAACAATATTCTTGTATGCTTTGAATGATAGCTACATACTTTTACACAGCATGTTTTTGACATGAGGCATTGGGATCTACCTCCAGCGGTCCACCCCTGGTATGAACTCCACAGCAGTAGTAGGATCGGTAAAGGTAAACCCGGGTCGCGAGTACCTTCTCTTCCGCCGAAGTCTGACGCCATAACATTTTCTATGTTCCGTCTGTGTATGGAAGTTCTAGAACCTCCGGGCTTCTTATAAATACAAAAATATGATTACCTATACCTAAAACATTTGTTAATTAATGGTTAAGATATTGTTCATAGTCTACAGTAATTTCATTTGCTTGGTTTCAGAATGAACTTTCAATATAAAGGACGTATTATAAAAATATTCGAGAACTTAGAAAGTACAGACACCCATCAGTCCTCTAAGAAGGACGTCATTGAAGAGTCCAATTATGTCGTCAATGATGACGGCAGTTTATCTTTAGAAGCAGAAAAACCTACTACTAAAACTTTAGTAGGCAATCCTAAAAATATAATGCTTACTAAAGACAAAGACATGATATTATTTAACCCTTGTACTTCTGATAAAAATATGTTACGTAACATCGAACCCCAACCTGGTTCACCAATATTTTCAGTTTCATCCAATTTGATAAATTTAAGCAGGTTAAGCCCAATAGTCATAACATTATTAGATGATGATACACGTGATTGCGAAGACACTGTAACACGACCCAATTTAGAACCAAGTGATGCTACTACAAGTGTTGAAGGACATGCAAGCTCATCAGTATCTCCAAGTATTTTGACGTTTAATGATTCTGATGATATACAACCAACAGAAAAAAAACGAAAGAAAAAACCAAATAAAGAAACGTGGGAAAAAATAAAGAATCAGAAACTCAGGGAAAAGGGTGAAGAATACAAAGGTAGACATAAAGATGCAGGAATATGGAACTACAAGGTTTCTAAAAAGGAACGAAACATAAAACCAAGATGCAACTGCAAACTAAGCAATAAAACTACAAAACTTGAATGTGCTAAACTAACTGAAGAAGAAAGAATAGATATTTTTGAGGAATTCTGGAGAATGAGTTGGAAAGAGAAGAAAATTTATGTGAGGTCACTAGTTGTTGTAAAACCGAAAGCAAGAAGTAGAGCTAATGAATCTGAATCAAAGAGAAAAAATTCTTTGGGGCTATATCTAAAAAAAAATACGAAAAATATTCGGGTTTGCAAGACCATGTTTCTGAACTCACTAACCATAGGGGAATGGGCTTTAAAAGGTTGAATAAAAAACAATGATGAAAAAGTTGATAAGAAAGACTCAAAGAATCAACAAGTAAAACGTTTTCTTGAATTACTGCCAAAAATGGAAAGCCATTATTGTCGTAAAAAGACTTCAAAATTGTACCTTGAAACTTTATGGGAGTCAAAAGCTCAACTTTTGAAAGTTTACAATAACGAGTTCTGCAAAGATAATAACTGCGATCCTGTTAGCATTGCGACATTTAGTGAGGTTTTTGAACAAATGAATTTAAGCCTATATCAGCCAAAAAAAGACGCTTGCGATCTTTGCGAGAAATACAAGACCAAGAATGTAAGTGAGGAAGAATACAAATGTCATATCAAAAAAAAAGAAAGTGCAAGAGTAGAAAAAGAAAGCGACAAGAAAAGCACAAAAGAAGTAACTATGGACTTGCAAGCAGTACAATTATGTCCTAGATCAAATGTTTTGCTCACTTTATTTTAAAACAAAACTTGCCGTTCATAATTTTACTGGATATGACATAAAAAGGGGTGAAGGTTATTGTTTATTTGGAACGAGACTGAAGGAGGGTTAACAGCAAATGAGTTTGCCTCTGTTATTATTAGAATGTTAGAATTATTCATCGAGAAGAATAATATTCCAGAAGGCTCAGAAATTGATTTATTTATTGATGGGTGCACGTACCAGAACAGGAATTCCACTTTATCGAATGCTCTGTAAAATTTTTCAATGGTAAAGAAAGTCAAGGTTGTACAAAAAAATCTCGAAAAAGGACATACACAAATGGAAGCGGATAGTATGCACTCTGTTATTGAAAGAAAAATTAAAAAAAAGAAAATAAATATTCCAGCCGAATATGCTCACATAGCCAAAACTTCCTGTACAAAAAAGCCCTATCACGTGGAATACCTGCAACATACATTTTTCAAAAATTACGAAACTAGTTTAAAGTTTTATAAATCGATTGGGCCCGGCAAAAAAGCTGGTGACCCTGTTGTCACTGATCTTAGGCAACTTACATACTTGCCTGAAGGAAAGATATATTACAGGTTGGGCTTCACTGATGACTGTCCCGAAATTTTACTACCGTGCCGGATACATAATGTTAAACCTCACCCCTTTGATGACTTACCATCTCTCTATACTGAAAGACTGAAGATAAAAAAAACAAAATTCAACCACCTGCAAGAGCTGAAGCTGACCATGGAATCTGATTTCCATGCGTTTTATGACTCTCTTCCTCATGAAGATCAGTAAACCTCAGTCAATCAGTAAATGTTCTAGAGTGAGAATGATTTTGAGGTATTTGACTGAGTAGTATGTTTTTATTTTTGTCTACCTGATATTATTTCTCTATTTTTTTCTTTTTTTTTAAGTCTAAATTCTAGTAATAAATAAGTGTTAGTAACATTTTACTATATAGGTATTAAAATGTGATCTCATAACACTTATGTATCGATGCCAAAACATTGTTCCTATTATGTGATAATATTAACTTATGTGCTATTAACTTATAGATATAAGTTTTAGATATAGTCTGAAGTTAATAATTAATGAGTCTAAGTTGTCGACGTTACTTAATTTTTAATTAATGTAACATTTTTGTATACAATGTATACAATTTTTGCAACAAATAAAAGCTATGTTTTTCAGTACAACTCTGTTTTTGTACTTTGCCTATACTGTTAAAAAATATATTCATAGGGCAACCTTTTTGGGTATTTTTTGTTATTACTAAGTCCAATCAAGTTATAGAATAGTCAAAAACAGTTAATTCGCAAACTTCATATATCCAAGAAAACTACCTAACTCCATTTCAATTTTCAAATCCAAAAAGATCAAACCTCTTAACTCCTTTTTAAATATGAAGCAAATTAATTACGCAGTAAATTCCTTTTTTAATGTAATCCAAGTCCATGTTTATGTATAATAATAATTATAAATAATGGTTTTCTGAACATATAGTTCTATTAAAACAGTTTTTTTTGCTTCCTGTAAAGTTGAGTCAAAAGGAGTTACGCAGTAAACGATCTAAGGTGACGAAATATTGTTTATTAACCTTGGAGTATTGTTGTGTACTAATTTGCATACTAAGTACAAATTGTTCAATCAATGTTTACATATGGAAATATCAATATCAATCAAACCTAGAAAAAGCATGCAGTAGCTATCGAAGTATTACATGTGTCTTTGTCAGAACGAAATAAATATACTAATTTCATTATGAGAGAAAGGGATGGGTTTCAAGAAGACATCAATGCATGCTGCATTGTTAAAAATCTTTAATTGTCCACTATAACTTGAACTCTGTTAGATACAAATACAAATAAAAATCACATTACTGATTAAGTTATACTATCTTCCTTGTAATTAGATGTTCTGGATTTTTTTCTACACTTTTTGACACTTGCCATGACTAACTTAATAATGACGTTATTATAAAGAAGTCTTCTTGTCAAAGTATATATTCACAGATCAAACACTTGGTCATAACTGAGGATTCGCATATGCAAATTTCTACTTTTGTTAAAACCATCCATGCAGAATCATAGATTCTTAGCTACAGCTTACTGACTTTGATACAGCATCTATTGGAGGTTATCCGTGTACCAATCTAATTTTTTGTTCCAACAGAAGTTGTATTATAAGAATAATAAATTTTAATCTCTTAATTATTAATTTATTAGATACATTGTGTATATATCATATTTATTAATACATATTAAGAAGATCAGTAGAAAAAAAGAATCATTATTATTTATTTATTCACCTTGAAATTAGGAATTGGTGAAAAATAAATGTCAACACTCATTATTATAACAGGACCATTGTGTAGAATTAATTGTCATATGTGGAGTCATATACACAGACATACTTCCATAGCAGCTCAATATTAAAACCAAACATGCCTTTATTTGTGTTGCTAAAAATGTTTGGTTGTTATGTGTAAAATTATACTACATGGACTACATTGTATTATGTTACAAATAAAAAAAATTATACCATTTTGTAATCCAAGCCATAGTTGATTGTGATCTTTTTTCTGCATAGTTGACATAACCTGCCCACGATGTTTTAGAACATCAGCTTCTTTTACTGTGGACATGTAATGTGCCTCCACAATATCTCTGAAAACAATAATAAAATATTTAGTACTATATAATCTAATTTATAATCTAACAGACTTCATTTTTGTTTATTGAATTTGAATTGAATAGGCTCAAATATAATTCACTTAAATATTTACATAGGTAAAGTCAGGGGCAATAGATACCTATATAATATAAATTTAAAATTATCTTTACATACTTATTTGGACAATGCAGAAGTACATCCTCAGGGAATTTGGTAAAATGTACAGTTAGTGTCCAAGGTAATTGTGGGTCATTGCCACAGAAGAGATCATACAAGAATCCTATAGGATAATGCCACTTAAGTGGCTGTCCATTATAGTCCAACCACATTTCACTGTCAGAATTTTCTTGAGATATATAACGTAGAAAATGCCTTTTCATCTGAAAATATTGATTCAGCTATAAAACTTAAATTAAATAATATTCCTACGAAAAATCAGCAGAAAACATATTTTGACAACCACCACGAGATTGGTTTACGTTACATTAAAGCTTTACCTTATCCGTTACTAGTGGAAAGTAACTAAGCCTTGGTACCATCACGTAAAAAGGATCTGGTTGTTGAATTTCCATAATTTCTTCCTGAGCAAGCTGAAAACAAATAGGAAGTTTTCCGTCCCATATTTCACGTAATACTTCCCTATCGTTCGCCATTTATATGATTTTGATATTGATTATATATTACAAAATTCAACAATAAAGGACATTAGACATCGAAAGTAACATAATTTATTTAAAAATTTAAATTAACCAGTGTAGAGAAAGTCTTCTTCTTCTTCTTTTTTAATTCATGGACTATGTATTATCTATGATTCATGGCCTATTTGCATTTACACAATTCCGCCAATGTCACGTTTGTGGTCTTTACACGTATAGAAACAATAATAAAATATGTAAATTTTGAATTTAAATAAAATAAAAAATAATAATAGCTCTGAGCGCGTCTATCTGATTACACTGTTAAAGATAATACAATTAGAATGTATATAGAAAACAAAGATATTTATAAATTAAGACTATTATTGATTGCAAAGAATTTAGATAAAATTTTGAATGGGCTGGGATTCTCCATATACATTTTATATTTCAATATACATTTAATATACATTTTATATTTGTTGGACGTGGAACTTTTGATGGTAGCAAATCATAAAGCGAAATGGATAAATTTGAATAATTAAATAAAATATGATCCGTAGTTCAAGAAGAAAGTATTACTCTTTGACGCATAGCCTTCCTGCATGCAACTTGTGGATCAAAAAAAAAACTTATTGAGTATTTATACTATTATAGTATTTATTAAGAAGCCATCCTTTCAACGCCGCGTTTGCATGCCAACTGAGTTAGGGAGGCGATCTAGTGCAGTGTAATCACAACGACGCCAACCGCCCTAAATCGAGGCCGATATATCGTGCCCGATAGATTGGGTAGCGAAATCGGCGCTTTATAATATAAAAATACATGAACTCAGTACTTATAACAGGACTCATAATTCCGAAAAATTATTATTACAAAAATAAACCTTATCGCAATGTTTTAAAGTATAATTTTCATTTGTACAGAAGTTAATTCAAGCCGAGAGAGATAGTCACAACAGAGGCAATATGTCTCGTTTTTGCCGTTATAAAAAATATCGCTCATTGAAAATTCAAATTAAAATAAATTAAGTAGTAACATTTGTATTTATAAAATTTTAAGTCATTATTTAATCACATTAAAACTTACCAATTTTCACCATAGTTTCAGTACCTTCTAACGGGTCCAGGGATGATGATCATTTATGTTTTTGGTCTCTATAATCATCGAAATGTAACTTATTTATAAGTTACCACAAAATTATTTTATTTTATCAAAATAGCAAGAACTACTGAACCGTTAAAACTGAATACCTAATTTTAATCATTGTTCAGCCAGCAGCCGATAAAACGTTTGGTATCAATTTCAACAATCTCCTTATAAATTAAAGCCACTTGTCTAAATTATATTTAATTTTTAATTCAGTAAAACATTGTCGTAAAAATGACAAGTTTGTTTTAAAAGTTATCTTTTCACTTCGTCATCATAACTATTAGTTTTGTTAATTTGTAAATTTCAGGAAATGTGGTTGTGAAATTATTTGTTCCATACAAATATGTAATTTTAAATCCCAGCCAATTGGCTAGCATAAAGAACAAGTAATATATATTTTGTAAAATTAAATCTAACCCAAGCATATTCCTTTTACAACTAATTTATTATTTTCTTCAAACGACAACGAAAACGCATTAGTATTTAATTTATTATCGCAGAGCAAAAAGAGCAACTCAAAGCTATATTTCCCTAAAAATAACGGTAAATAAATCATTACGTAATGTGGAAGTATTTTAAGAAAAAAAAAGAAAGCACAAAAAAGCACTCTACCAAAAGTTGATTTTGCAGGAAACGAATGGACCAAAGGTAGTCATATCCGTTCCTTTTAACTAAGAAATTAAAATACTGAAATTGGCAAAGTTCGAAACTTAGAAATCAATACAAATTCGAAAAAGTACAAATAGAATATGAGTTGTTTATTGACTTTTGAAAATGAATTAACTTTTATACATGAAAGAAAATCGGAAAGGTTGTCATCTAGAAATCAAGAAAGTACCATAGCGACATCTAGTTTGATTTCGGGTAATAATGTTTTTTTTTTAAATATGTCCTTATTGCTTGCTACCACAGCTTGCTACGGAGTCATTGATTTAGTCTGTGGTTTTTTTAGGAGAATAGTTTGTATGGTTTTGATTATTTTGCGTTGGCTAATAAATTCAGTAGATATCTACTTGCAACTTATTGAGTGTTTAGAAACATATGCTAGAGGTATACGATTAGCAAGGTTCTCTATTTCTATTGTGATACAAAGTTTAAGCGTATAATGTAAACCTCATATCGCACCGTTGTCCGCCATAGGACAAGCTATTACATTTGATAAAATATTGTGTCCGTGTTTTATGTGTGTGTAAATATATGTGAAAAATGGCTAGCCCGTCTCCTCAAAGCAGTCCGATGCCACCTCCACAAGTTCCAAGCCCAATGGGCCCACCAACTCAAAGTCCGGCGCCACCACAATCTCCACATAGTCCGTACAATCAACAACATGTGAATGGACCTCCACCTCATCCATCTGGACCTGGACAACCACCGATGTCTAATCACATGTCACCTTCGGGACCATCTTCACATTCAATTGCCCCTAATTCAAATGGCCCTCCTGGAGTACCCCAGCAACATCCAGGAATACCGCCAAGCGGTCATCAGATGCCTCCTCACATGGTAGGCCCACACATGGCAGGGCCTCCAGGTCATCCAATTCCTGCAGCAGCCCACCCTTCAGGTCCTAATGGCCATCCAAATATGCCAGGAAATCCTCCTCATCCAAATATGCCAGGGCAGGGACCACCTCATGGTTATATACAGCATCAAATGGGACACATCCCTTCTAGCCAAGTAAGAAAAAAATATTTATTTTTTATTATTCTTGATATTAAAAATAAAATAAAATTATAGTAACATACTTTTTGTAATTTTTATTTAGGCAGATATTTCAAAGAATTATTACAAGTAGTGATGTATAGAGATCATCAGTAGTAACAAATTTAAAGTATTTGTCATATTTTGTTGACTATTAAATAAGGGCCCATAAATTTCTTTACTGATTTGTAAAGTTTCATCTAATATTGTTCCAAACTGTTGACTTAAGGACATAATGTTCTTAGGGTTAGGAATGGTCTCATCTTTATATTTCATATAGACAGTGTATACTATTGGTACATTCAATTTGTATTTCACCCAGTCTGCACAGTTACCTGAAAAATTATCTAGAAACCAGAGGCAACATAGGTATAAGTTGTAAATAATATAAGTATCTCTCAATATCATATAAATCTACTACTTAAGTACTGTTACAATAAAAACTGTTGTGAACTTTAACTGGAAAGCATTAAATCAATAAATTTGTTCATGTTAATATAAAGTTACAGTTTATATTGTTAGAACCCATTTTCTACTATTTTATAACTACTAATGAATATAAATTTTTAGAATATCATCATTACTTTTATGTGTCATAAACTCTGATAATTTGCGGAATGAGACCTATTGGTTATTTGAGGTACCCCAACATATGCTTTTTCTGTGCACAGGTTATTGTGCTACAGTTTTAAGTGGGGTACTGTAATAGTTCATGTTTGAAATCAGAATATTTAAATCATTGGTTTTTGAAAATGATAATTAATATGAACTGACACTCAATATTTTAATAATTATTTTGATTGATTTTGTTACTTTAATCATTTGATTTGGTAGTTGATATGTGACTATGAGGTGAATGTAAATGGTTTCACCATTACATACAATCACAATGCATCCATATTGTTTTCTATATTACAGACAACTATTATTTGAATGTAAACACATGATTTCTCGAAGTAGAAGCTCCTTATTTGTGGCGATACATTCCTACAATATGCTGTGGATGCAGAAAACTAATATGGTATTTAGTATAAAATTAAAAGGGATATGTTCCAAGATTCCAAATGAAAAGCAATATGTATGTTAATATAAATACAATTGAGGTGACATTGTTGAGGAACTACTAATTTAAATCAATCTTTATTTTCAGTTTTACACAAGTATTTTTTAAGATTTAATTCATTGTCTTTTATGTAGTTTTTAAAAATCTTTAAATTCAGGCTCACAACTAAGTAGCTGTATAGCATAGTAGCAATAATAAAGAATGCTGAATCCCTTTATGTTATTGATTATCACAGAAATTGGGTTACAATTTTTTCACCCATGAATAAGGAAGCTGCGAATAATTAGCCTCTGATCAACTAGAAATGAGAACAATGCCCAAACATTACTTACAAAAGAATTTTGCAGACTGTCCATTAAAGTATGTAGTGTTATGCTCATTCTGCAGCCTTTCACAAGCAGACGTTATTATATCCATCTAATAATGAAATTAAAATCTTTAGTTTAGTTTTATACAACCAACAGTTCGACATGTGTTCAAAATTTATGAAAGATCTATTTTATTCTCAATAGTGATGAGCCCTAATATTGCCTATATTAGTGTAATTATGGAGAGTTAATAACAAGATAATGCTTCAATAACAAGTTTTTTGATACAGTTCTTTTTACTATATCACAAAATTTGTTATTTATATATTCTTATTTATGAAGACACCATTAAAATAACAATATTTAATTTCCGCTATACTTTAAGTATGGCCTTGTTAATAATAAATGTTAAAAAGAGAGCTATTTTTCATGAGCTATAAATTTGTAAGTCCATCTAATTATTTAATACATAATGAGTTAATCTCATCTTTCTCAAGTGGTTTTTTAACATACAATGAATTTCTCAAATAGGCATTAACTAGTTGTATTCCACTTTGCAATTATACATACATCCCCAACAATCATTTTAATAATATTTAAGAAGTATTTTTTTACATCTACCCATGTTAATATATGATTTTCAAATAAAAAAAAATCATAACAATTATATGTTGAAGCAAATATTATTGTAATAGAATAAATGATTACCATAACTCCATGATTTACAGAATGCTGCATTGTATTAGCATAGGGTAATGTAATTAGTCTGTTACCATAGCCTATTACATTGATAAATGCCATTAGCTTGTTAGCATGTTTATTTAGAAACACAGCAAGACCATTAGTTTCTTCTTCTGATAATGCTCTATGTCCTAAATACACAGCATTACATATGTCCTCTTGGGCTAAAATGTTTTTACATAAAGCCAAATTTACAGCAAAAAAAATTATGTGGTTCTGCACTGGTATGTAATTTCTTTGTCTTTGATTTATTGAAACCAAATCTTTTTCCAAATTTATGCTATCAGTTTTTTATACCTATACCTAGTCTAGTCATTAATTCTGTTACTGGTTGTTTACATACATTATAAAAACATTAATTTAAATTTCGAATGTTAGCTTGTATGATAAAAAAATTGATTTCATTCCCGCCATTATTGTATGTTTTTTGTTTAAAAATTATTTGTTTTGAAAATGGAGTGGGGCAGTAAAGAAAATAGGATTGCAGTAATTGCACAGTACAAAGTAGGTCAGGAGCCAGGCGACATTTTTGACACATTGAAAAATCTAGGCATTAGCAGAATATTTGTGTATCGTACCAACCAAAGGTACACTGAAACCATGTCTGTTGATGACCGTGATAGTTACTACAGTCAAGGCCAGAATTCGTCGAAATCCCATAAGGAAGCAGAAAATCCTTTCCAGAGAAATGAGAATCCCACCGAGGACACTTTCTCGGATTATCAAACAAGACTTCTAGACAATAGGTCTAGGGACTACCGGAGACACACAAGACATAACTTAAATCAGGCACTAAAACAAAAGAGAGTCGAAAGATCAAAACAAATGTTACTTCGATACGCGGACGAAAAACACAGAAAAATTCTCTTTACCGATGAAATTTTTTTATAATCGAGGAGCACTACAACAAACATAAGAATTGAGCGTATCTACACAGCTCTAAAGAAGCTTCCAAGGTAGTGGCCAAAGTTGAAAGGAGTGAAAATTTCAGCCAAAGTATATCAAGATGCTGTGTTAGAAGCGGTAGTTAAACCTATCAAGAACACCTTGTTCAAAAACGAAGTGTGGACATTCCAACAGGATTCAGCCCCGGGTCATAAGGCGCGCACTACCCAAATTTGGCTTGAGTAAATGTTCCAGACTACTTAAAAGCTTCGGCTAGTCCGGACTTAAACCCTTTGGACTATAAATTGTGGTCTGTGCTAGAGGACATGGCCTGCTCTAAGCGTCACCCAAATATTGAGTCGCTCAAGAAATGTTTGGAGGCAAAGTTTCCAATGGTTCCAAACCGTTCGTAAATCCACCGACGAATGGACCTACCGTTTAAAAGCGTGCGTTAAAGCTAATTTATTTATTATTTGAATAAATTGAGAAAAAATATAATTATACTTATTATGAAATGAACATGCAGTTTTAGAGATATTTTCAAATATATGTAGTTTTATGTATTTAACATTGTTGACGCATAAGTTTTTTTTTTCTAATATCTTTAATTAAGCAATTCCTGTATTAATCTGAATCTCGGAAACTGCTCTAAAAAATTCATGAAATTTATTACAAACCAGCTTTCAGGGGCGAAAATCGATTTAGTTATAGGTTTAATTTACCAAAAAAGTACTGAGTAAAGCTCAGGCAACCAGGTACTAAACTTTAAGTAGTATACTTTAACGTATCTAATCAAAAACAACCAGCCTTCCCAGTTAATATAAAACAAAAGTCTTTTAATAATAAAACGGTAATAAATTATTTTATATCCTTTAAAGAAAGCTGCGTGAACTCAGAGATCTATTAGATATAGATTAAATTAACAAAATATACCAATCAATTTAAAGGTTTGTTCAGTCCACCTCACACGCCATTATATGAATTATTTTGTTCTTAAGAAGCACAAAATTTCCAAAGAATCCTTTACTAATCGTCTTCTTATTCTGCTAACTAGATAAACAAACATTGAACAAAATAGATAATCAAAACAAAAGTACTGTAAAAGTGTGTACTCGCATAAATTTACGCTACCACACTTCGAAAAAGACGTTTTTATGCTCGATTCATCAATTTCGACAAATGTACATTTGAACATTTTTTTTTAAATATAATGACTGACTCCAAATCAATCTGCATTGCATCAGTAATGTTGACATACTTTGATTTTAGACTCAGTGACATGGTCTAAATCCGGTTTTCGCTCAAGAAGAAGTTTCAGTAAAATTAATTTAGGTACTTACTATTATAAACGTTAACGTAGTACCAATTTCTGTCTATATTGACCCCGACACCAGTATTATCATCACTATAAATTTGCCGGTGGCATTTCCTTTTTGGAAAGAACACTCTCCTATTTTTTGTCCAAAATTCATTCTACAACGGAATTATTCTTGTTATATTTTTTACTTAAGGTTTTGAACCGGAGCGGATGTGGACGAGACAGTTTTCAACAGCAGGGTTTAATAATCTAAATCATGATTTTTATTTTTGATACACTATATTCAAATAGTTTTTATGTACAATGGATCCTGGTAATCCGACAAATATTTTGCAAGACAGTGTCGAACTATCGAATTTGTCGGATTATAGAGTACTACTTAATATACCCCCCCTTAGTGCCAGATTAGACAGGGGCTGGATTATCGGGGATCCACTGTATTTGTTATTACTATAAACATTTGAAATCCCTGTATTGGGCCAGTCGTCACCAGATATTAAAGTCAGGTATATGGCGGAAAGACAACTAGAGACTTGTATAAGATGTCAGATCATTGTTGGAGTTGATTCGGATTTAATGAGGATTTCCTCATCTAGGTATGTTAACCTTTCACTTGCAATGTGAGGTCAACCAAGGCTACTGTAAACTATTATATGATCTTGGATTTATTTCGATTAAACTTGCTATTTTTAATACCGGTCCTTGCGAAGAGGCTCGCCCTCATGATCTAGGATGATGACGTACAAAACTTCCGTGCCTTGTCTTTTTTATACACAACCATCCATATAACAATAATTAATATTATAATTTTTACATTTTCCATGCTGTATACATATCCATCTGGATTCATAATTGGTATAAAGTAGAAAGTAAAATATTCTATTAATCCTTTGAGTTGTTTATCCTCCAAAATCATATCTATAAGAGCAATAATTATTGCTACTGACATCCAATCTTTTCCTTGCTCTCCACCTACGATAACTACAATTGGATTATTTTTATTTTTCGTCAAGCTTAAGGTGAAAACTTCCCTCTTCTCGTATGTAATTGCTATTATTTGTTTCTTTAACATATGATGACTTCGTTGCTTTGTATTAACCCATGAAGTTATTGATTGCCAATGTAAAAATTGATTACTGTTATCATACTTTTCATTTACCTCGATAATTTCATCTCTGTAATTATAATGTAATTACTTTCTAACAAAAAAGATATTTGTTTTTAGTGTTGGTAGTAATTATGTTGTACATCCTAAATTAAGGTTTGATCTTGGTTAATTGCGTTTTTAGCTTCGAAAATAACTAATATAACAGAAGTAAGCTATGTTGTATTGTAGTATACGGGACTTGAATATTCCTTTGATTATATGTGACTTTAATATGCTTAAGTCTGTTAAAATCACAGTTATAAAACTAATCCAAGTAAAAAAAGGTTTCTTTTGATAGTTTAGTTAAAGTAGTGGTACAACAGGATTGACACCAATATTTATACTAAAATTAAGAGGAAAAATGTGATCTGATGTTTTCTTTGCATTGAATATGATCTGAAACATCTAGATTTTTAATATTAGGTCCTTACATATGAAATTGGCGTTTTGTCGTACTGGCCATTTTAATCACTAATTTCTCCTTGGTTGGGAATACCAAATTCAAATTTATACAGCCATTTACCCATGTATTTGTATTTCAATAGGCGGCATTCATTTGTTTTTTTTTTTCTGTTTGTCCTTTACGTCAGCCAGTATAAAAAATGGAAAACTTGAAATATCGTGTTATTTACGAGTACGAGTTCCACCGTGGTACCAGTGCTGCGGAAACGGCTCGAAGGGTTAAAGATATGTATGGCGGTTATGTCGCAAAAGAAAACACAGTGCCTTTTTGGTTCCAACGTTTTCGTTCTGGAAAATTTCGACCTGCAGAACAAGCCCCGTGGACGGCCGGGGACCCAAGTTAATAATGAAGAATTGATGGCTATTGTGGAAGTGGATCCATCGCAAACCACGTCCGAGTTAGCTTCTGGCTGCAGTGTTAGTGATAAAACTGTTTTAATCCACTTGAAGCAAATTAGAAAGATTAAATCAGGCCAAACGATTACGGCACACGTCTGTTGTCAGTAATTGCGAACCATGCTGGAAAAACTAGCTGTTAAACAACCAAGGCTGGTCAATCGCTCTACGTCACTGCTACTTCACGACAACGCTAGACCACACACTGCACAACAGACGGCTACCAAATTAGAAGAGCTTCAATTGGAATGTCTAAGACATCCACCGTACTCCCCGGACCTTGCTCCAACAGATTACCATTTTTTTCGAAATTTGGATAACTTCTTGCAAGGGAAAAATTCAACTCCGATGGGGCAGTGCAAATTACCTTCAAAGATTTTATTGATTCCCGTTCGAATGGTTTTTTTAGTAAGGGGACCAATGAACCACCTATGAGATGGCAAAAGTGCATAGATAACAATAGTTTATACTTTGATTAAATAAATATATTATATTAAAAAATATTCGACATTTTTTTCTTCCCATACCAAACACCAATTTCATATGTAAGCACCTAATAATTCTATTAGCTAGCTAGCAGGTGACATAGGTTATAATTTATGCGGGTGAAATCGCGGGAAAACAGCGAGTCTAGTATAAAAATAATATTCCCTACATACTGACAAACTGCCAAGATTGTGTAGGTATTTTAGGATAATTAATTAGTTATGTACCTGGGTTTCAATTCAATATGATTGTACTCCACACCATACGCCTTAAGTTTTTCTTGAAAATATTTAATGCAGCAGTCTTCAACTATAACTTGCATAGGCATAACGGCTTCATTAGTTATACCATTTAAGAATAGTACAGATTCATTGTAAATGTGCATTTTGTAAAGTAAAGACCGTTCACCTTCATTGAATGCAGTGACTTCAAATAAATCGTAACATGAAGCACCTTTATATAAATATAAACTTCCTAAAATTATAAGTAAGAAAATAATAGGCAATGCAGACATTTTTACTAAGAAAATATCAATTTCAATAAGGCTATGATAATTACCCCACTATTGCGTATAAGTAAGGAGGATTATGATTTTTAATGTTTTAAATCTGTCTTCAACAGACTGATAAATGATTTTGAAGAATTTTTATTTAAATAAACGCTAGATTTTTTTTTTCAAAATTCACTTAATAATCGTTAAAAATTGCGTAATATTTTTATATTGTATATATTCAGCTTTCTGCTTTTAAAATACAGGTTAATCTTATACATACCTATATGTAATAGGTATTTATAAGATTAACCTGTATTTTAAACTAGTCTAAATTGTTTGTCATAATAGGGTGGACCTCTACCGATGGGTGGCGGGCCACCTCCACCAGGTAACGGATCTCAGGGTCCACCAGGTGGACCATTGCCGATGCAAGGTCCTCCGCACGGCGTGCATCCCCAAGGCATGCCGCCTGGAGGACCAGGACACATGCCGCCGCACCACCCCATGATGCCCAGTCAGGGCCCACCGGCGCATCCACCTGGACCGCCTTATGGACATGCGCCTCCCGTACCTGGCGCGCCCGCGCCCCCAGCTCCCCAGCCGGGAGTCCCTCCTCAAGGGCAGCCCGGTGGCCCTCCGCATCCGCCCGCCGCTCAAACACCACCCCATGGGCAACCCCCAACTCCAGCAGGGTCTGCTAACGGAGCACCGCCCTCCTCATCGCCTATGCAGGGCTCTTTGCCCGCACCCGGCCCGGATAACCTTAACGCTCTTCAAAGAACTATAGATTCCATGGAAGAAAAAGGATTGCAGGAGGATCCGAGATACTCTCAACTACTCGCGCTGCGAGCGAGATCTAGCAATGCTCAAGATCCTAGCAAGGGACTCTTTTCAAATAATCAGCTGTGTCAGTTGAGGTGAGCAAAATATACCTACTACTCGTAACTCGTACTATTCATAAAGTACTTCAATACATTATGTAAAAAAAAGAACTAACCTGACATAGCTGATAAACCCGTTGTATTATTTTCAGAGCTCAAATTACGGCATATCGAAATCTGGCTCGCAACCAGCCTATATCCCAACAGATGGCCATGATGGCAGCGGGGAAACGTACCAGTGATACTCCACCAGAATGCCCCACGCCCCCGGCTCAACCTCCTTACGGAGATGGGCAGGCCCCCCCGGCTACGTCTGGCGCGGGCGTGGGCCCGGCAGGTGGCAAAGCCGGCGGGGGCGCTGCGGGTGACGCAGCGCGCGGCGGTGGTGGCGCCCCGCCTACTCCTCTACCAATGACTGGTCAAATGGCACCTCCAACGCAACCAACGCCGCCACTTGTGAACCCAGTAAGTATTGAAATAAATATTACATATCTGAAGGCCTATTCTATTTCTCCGAAAACTAAGCTTCGTCGGTTTTCGAAATGGTACTACTCAAAAGAAACTTATTTTTCGATAACTTTGTGATACAACATAGATACCTGACACTGTCTCTGATGTAATCTTCACTAATATGAACTTGAAAATTAATAAGAACGATTCGAAATTTTCCCAATTTTTCGTTCTAGGATAAATAGATTAATAGGAATAGGTTAATAGCTCTAAACATTTACTTATTAGCTGATATGTTTTTTGCAGTATATGTATGAATTGGTTTATGAATTATCATTTAAAATCTGAATAAATAGATGTAAAAAGACAGTAAAATGTTTAAAGAGTAGGATAAGTAGGTCTTTAGTTTCCTTCATTCCATGTTTGTGCCCCGAAACTGAATCCGTTCTTAGTATTACAGAGTATAAATTATAAGAACTTTAATTCGTAATAATATAATTTTCTTTGAGATAGCATAGAGATTGGAAAGTTTTGTGAGATGGGTTTTAACCCTATCATTATCGATTTTGGGAACCACTGACTTGGAACCTTGACCCAGGTTGCTTGTCCACTGCTTTCGTTTTTCCTTGACCTCCTTCGAGGGTAAGGCAGATATACGACATGACAGCCAATGTTTAACTTTTGAATTTCTTCAATAGCCTATGGGAGTAGCGCCACCGATTCGTGGAAGTGGACCATTGAGACCGCCGGGACCAGGTGCGACAGGAATGCCTAACCAACAACAGGTAAACATTCACGTTCTCATACTGAGAAGAATAAAATAATTTCATTATTGAATATGTCATTATAAGTTTAAGGGTTATATTATACTTATAGACATATATTTAATTAGACTTTATTACAGCCTGGAGTACCTATGCCAGGCGCGAAACAGAATCGAGTTACAAGCATACCAAAGCCAGTCGGAATTGACCCTCTACAAGTCTGGAATGAAAGAGAAAACAGGTAACGTATTTGTATTGTCAACCTCTCCTTGCCAAGTTTATTGTTACTCTGAACCTTTAATATTAATGATAGTAATGGTTATAATATTATATGAAAATTTCTAGGATTGCTGCACGTATCGCTCATCGCATCGAAGTACTTTCTAATCTGCCAGCCAACATCCCTGATGACTTACGACTGCAAGCTCAAATAGAACTAAGAGCACTAAGGGTTCTCAATTTTCAAAAACAATTGCGCGCCGAGGTTAGTATATAGAATTTTGTTCTATGAAATTGATAAAATGAATAACGATTTTTAATAAGTATTGTCTTGGCACTGAAGATATTGGGACAAGTGCGTCGGGACACGACATTGGAAACAGCTGTCAATATCAAGGCTTACAAACGCACGAAGCGTCAAGGATTGCGTGAAGCGCGTGCTACGGAAAAGTTGGAGAAGCAACAGAAACTCGAAGCCGAGAGGAAGCGTCGCCAGAAACACCAAGAATTCCTTCAGACTGTTTTGCAACATGGTATACATATTTTTCAGTTTTCATTGCAACTATTAGCACCTCAATACATAAGTTGTAGAACTACAATTCAATTATTTTTACAGCTAAGGATTTCAAAGAATACCATCGTAACAATATGGCAAAGTTGTCGCGTATGAACAAGTCTATAATGAACTATCATGCAAACGCCGAACGCGAACAAAAGAAAGAACAGGAACGTATAGAAAAAGAACGTATGCGCCGGTAAGTTAATTCAATATGTGCACACCTTTTTTTGATAAATAAGAATTATTAAACAATCGCGTTTATAATTTATAGCTTGATGGCAGAAGATGAAGAAGGTTACCGCAAACTTATCGATCAAAAGAAAGACAAGCGACTGGCGTTCCTGTTGTCACAGACAGACGAATACATCGCTAGTCTCACGGAAATGGTCAAACAACACAAGCAGGAACAACGCAAAAAGCAACAAGAAGAGGAACGCAGGAAGAGGGTGAATATTTCCATAGTTTGTCTCCTTATGTTTTCTATGTTACTTATCGTAAAATAGTTCGTTCGTTTTACTAGAGAAAGAAGCAGATATTATATTTTTTTTCTGTATAGAAATCAAGGAAAAAGAAGCTATTGGAAGGCGGCGAGATCGACGCTTTGGATGACAGCTCTCAGACATCTGACTCTCGCGTTAGTGTGATGGATCCAAAAACAGGCGAGGTATAGACTGTAGTTTACGTCCTTTAGATATTCGGAGAATAATGTAGATGATTACTATGGGTATTGTTTTTGATATCTTGCAGATATTGAAGGGCGAAGAGGCGCCTCTGCTATCTCAGTTGAAGGATTGGATGGAAACACATCCTGGGTGGGAAGTCTTGTCTGATTCTGAAGACTCTGGTGATGACAGCCAAGATGATGATGGTATTTATTGTTTTTTTTTAGTGATCAGTAGCCATGCTTTGTTATAATTTGTATTAGTTTAGTGATTTCAAACATGTTTCTTATTATAGAACGTAGGGAAAGAAAGGAAAAGCAGAGAGAGGAGAGAGATCGAGAGAAGACTGACGAAGAAAAGGCTCGAGATATGATAAAGAAAGCAAAGGTTGAAGACGACGAGTACAAGACCGAAGAACAAACATATTACAGGTAACAGCTACTGTCTACTATAGAAACCGTCATGTTTCCAGTCAATCAAAGTAGGAACAGTGGTTCTTTTTTTTTTTTGTACAGCGAAGTCAAATAGATCCGAATATATGTTCTAGCTGAATGTTGCTAAATTATCACAAGTTGATAAAATATTGTTAGGAGCATGTTTATTTTTTTTTTCGGGTTGGGGTATGCATAACGTTTTCTAATTTTTTTTTGTTACAGCATTGCGCACACGGTTCACGAATCTGTCACGGAACAAGCTAGCATACTGGTTAATGGAAAACTGAAAGAATATCAAATTAAGGTGTGTATTATAATATACATAATATTATATACATATATTACATAAATATATTTGCATAAATTGTTTAATATTCATTCAGGGTCTAGAATGGCTGGTGTCATTATTCAATAATAATCTAAATGGCATTCTCGCTGATGAGATGGGTTTAGGCAAGACCATTCAGACAATTGCGTTGGTTACTTACCTCATGGAGAAGAAGAAAGTGAATGGACCATTCCTTATTATCGTGCCGCTAAGGTAAGAGCCAAATTCGTTACTACTCAGGCCATAGTTAAAATTTACCACTTTTAATGATATTCTCGCTGTTGCGTTTTGACACATCTCCGCTTTGGACTAATTTAATTTTTAATTTTTCTGACTGCTTGTATTGTATATGATACAGCATTCTAAAGAATAATTAAATTTAAAATAGAATCTATTTCAATGATTTAAAGGTTTTAAAAAATCACATACAGGGTTATCACATCAAGGATGTGAAAAATGTGTGTAAAAATTGTACAGTGGCACTCAGTTCACTTTGTCTACTGTGTACGATATAGGTATTTTGAATACGTTACCACAGGATTTTGTATGCATTAAGACTGACTGTATGTAAATATTTTACATTTACATTTGTATGCCAGTACATTGTCGAACTGGGTGTTGGAATTCGAGAAGTGGGCGCCGACGGTCGTCGTGGTTTCATATAAAGGCTCGCCGGTGTCGCGCCGCCTCGTGCAGACTCAGATGCGATCCACCAAATTCAACGTCCTCCTCACAACCTACGAGTACGTTATCAAAGACAAAGCTGTACTTGCTAAGGTAATTGTATAAATATTACTGCATATAATGTAATCTTGCAAGTTAAGTCTGACTTACTGCTTGGTTTTTGATTGAGCTGAAGTTTTGCTTCCATATACAGCATTATTTGTGACACCAACAATCTTGCTATACTAGATAGTTAACATCACAACATTTGACGTACGAATTATTCAATACTTCAAACAAAAATCATTTATCAAGTTCTTATTGTACTGTCGTTACGTTTATAGGTCTATATATTCATTTAGAATCAAAAGTATATAGCTACGCTTGCGTGTTGTATGAAGTACTTTACATATTGGATGCGGATAGAGTTTAAAACAGACCTATTATTAAAATAATTTTTATTTTCGTATATATTAGCTTATTTACATCTCTTTATTTCATAATCGATTGTTAGATGGCGTTCTTTTTTTTATTGACATCTTTTACTTAAAAGCATCTGTTTTGTGTACATATCACATTGACGTCATGAATATGACGGACAGCGTTTTCGCGGCTATAAAAAAGTAAAAATTTTGATATAATAATAAGGCAAGAAAACGTGTTTATTGTTCCGAATTTTATTTTATGACCCGTTTTAAATTAAAATAAACAATTACAAGTATGATTTCAAACAGAGTAGAATACCCTATTAAACGAAACTACCCCATCCATTTGGCCTCATTTGAGTTGTCTAATGTGGACTCGAGAATTTTGCAATGAAATAACGTAACACTGTCTTTCTTGAGTTTGGGCTTGTTTGATTTATTTGTACAAATCTCTAGTCCAACATAAAAATCGGAAATTTAAGCTTGTTTTTTTTTAAAGAAAGAATAGTATGTATATCTTGTTTCTCTATACTTTAAAGAAATTCGAAATGGGCATTCAAAAGTGCCTCCAGTTTGTGTTTATTTTGACATCGAAACGGGAACGATCCAGGTACAATGGAAGTACATGATAATCGACGAGGGTCACCGTATGAAGAACCACCACTGCAAGCTGACGCAGGTGTTGAACACGCACTATATAGCGCCGCACCGGCTCCTGCTGACTGGCACGCCACTGCAGAACAAGCTGCCAGAGCTGTGGGCGTTACTCAACTTCCTCCTGCCCTCCATATTCAAGAGCTGCTCCACTTTCGAGCAGTGGTTCAACGCCCCGTTCGCCACCACTGGCGAAAAGGTAATCTATACTAATGATAAAGCTGAAGAGTTTGTTTGTTTGTTTGATTAAACTCAGGAACTACATCATCTGAAAAATTCAATTGTCTAATTTTCACGGTTCATGAGATATGGTGACATACAAATAGTGAAGTCTTAGTTATAGGGTTGTCGTTTGACCCTTTGGGTACGGAACCCTAAAAATTTAAGATGCTGCCGAAAGTCACTAGAAGTCTCGGGTACGGCTAGTATTACTATAAGATAACAAACTCTAATCGACTTCCTCGTTTGTCCAACCAGTGACGAGGTAATATTACTATGAATAAAAATGAGTTAGTTAATAAGCTGCAATCGTGTATAATATGATAAACTGCGATTGAATTTCCCGTTTGTCACCACTGAGGAGAAGAATTAATTATTATAAAATGATAAACTATGTTAATTTTCAGTAACTGCGCATGCCCATGATTAAAAACTAATAATAACTATAATTAACACAGGTGGAATTGAATGAAGAAGAAACGATTCTTATTATCCGACGTTTACACAAAGTGTTGCGTCCGTTCTTACTAAGGCGACTGAAGAAAGAGGTGGAGAGTCAGCTACCCGACAAGGTCGAGTACATTATCAAATGTGATATGAGCGGCTTACAACGCGTACTCTACAAGTGAGTGTTAGCTTTAAACTATGACGTTTTCCAATGCAATTTCACTATAATTGTTTAATATACATTCAAATCAAATTCTTAAAAATGTCCATGAAACCATTCATCTTTAAGTAATTTATGTTACACATTACAAGTATATTTCCCCTTTTCCCAGACATATGCAGTCGAAAGGTCTTCTCCTTACGGATGGTTCGGAAAAAGGCAATAAGGGCAAGGGCGGGGCTAAAGCTCTCATGAATACGATCGTGCAGTTGCGTAAGCTGTGCAACCATCCCTTCATGTTCCACCATATCGAAGAGAAGTTTTGTGATCACGTTGGCAGCGGCGGCGGCGTCGTCACTGGGTAAGTTATTTCATATACAACAATTTCATAATATAAGGGGTAATTATTATATGCCAGGACTGCGTGGGAGGATGAATTATACAACGTAACAGAAATAACGCATTAATATATATAATGCATCAATAATCTTAAAACGTAAATTGGAATTTTACTTTTATATACTAAAACATTGTTTGTGCATTGACACAGTTATAATAACTTCTGGGTCTGGGACATCTTACAAATCTACACAATGATGTCAAAATTACGGCTTAGCCTAGAACTACAAATATATGTACCTACAGCGCAATACCATAATGAAACTACCCACCAATAAAAATTGTTGACGTGAAATATTACTGTTTCGAATTTAATTAAGTGTTTTTAAGTTTAGCCTAATTATGATTCTTACTTGTTATGAATAGCGACTAGCATAGTCTTGCGATCACATTTATCACGGCGAGGACAGTATCATCACATTGTGCCTCTAACCCTTAAGCGTTTCGATGTATTTTTTTATGTTAGTATAAGGAAGAATCATCGCATGTGAAATTCAAAATTCGATAAACTTAAATTGCGGTAAAATAATCATCCGCTGCCATTGTCATGTTTATTTGTGATATATTATTTTTCTCTTTGTTTATGAATTATAATACTCTGGTTTATGAATAGCGTTTAAGTGCATTTAAGACTCAATGAATATTAAAAGAAAGCTCATTTTTCTTTGTTTTTTTTTTTTTTCTTTACAAGCAAAGAATATAGTGCATTTTAAAAACCCTTATTTTCACTTTACTTTATTTACTTGATACCAATTAAATTTAGCAAAAAAATTGCCTATATTAGAAGTTGTTAAAATCGAATCGGCATCTGATTTTAATTTCCTTTTATTTTTATACAACACAATCACTAACACGTACATAATAGGGATGACGACTAATTTTTGTTTGTTTGTCCGTCAGGTAGAGTGATAAAAATTTTAAATATGTATTTTTTTTTTTTTTATTACATGGAGTTGAAATTTCGCATGACATCACGTTATGGTACGTTTTCTACTAAATTGTGACGTAGCGAGCCCCCACTCCTCAACTTTAATGCCTATTATCTAAGCTATTTCTTGTTAAATTGAAGTAAAAAAAAAATACATATCTAATATTTTTCTATTATCTGACTGACGGACTAAGTAGAATTACATTTTTTTTACCCAGTCGTCATCCCTATTCGAGTTTACAAGAATATAATTGATTTGCATAATATAATTGATTAAATTTAATATTTCAGTCTCATAGAATTTTTGATTGTTGAACTTTTATAACAGGAGTGATATATTACAGTAAATTATGCTTCTACAATGCCATATGCTCTAGTAACTGAAATGTTTTCTTTTATTATTGGCAGGAATTGTCAATCTTGTATTAAGAAGTCAAGTCTGGTTGAATAAGAGAAATGCAATAGAATACCACTTTTACTTTTGTATGATCGGTGTCTGTAAAACAACACATGTAGATGTTTGATGATGTGAAACCTTTTAGTAGCCTTAATGTTGAGCTTGTGATAACCTATACTATTATTTGTAACGCTGTTGGTTTCAATTATAATAAATAAATTAATAAAGAAACTACTTTTAGGATGTGCGTTAATTATGTTACATGTCGTGTATACTGAACGACTTTAAAAGTTATTTATTAATATGGAACTCATCCATCCCACGTCCACATACATATTATTACGCCTTATATATACTGCTTTTAAATCTCTAATTGCTTTTTACGTTTTTTTTTCTTGCGATTCCATCATAATAAGCTGAAGCAGGTAGTAACACTCGGTCTGTTAAGTTTTCGAGTCCAGCATACCCTCATCAGAAGTAGCTCGGTGGCGTAGTGGATAAGCGCCGCGGCCCGCGATCGTTGTCGTTAAGCAACTTTCGCAAGGGTCGGTCACGGGATAGGTGACCAAAAAATTATTATCTCGAGCTACTCCGTACTTCGGAAGGCACGTTAAGCCATTGGTCCCGGCTGCATTTGCAGTCGTTAATACCCTCCAATCCGCATTGGGCTAGCGTGGAGGGTCATGGCCCATCCTCCTTAACCATCTATAAGGAAGGCCTGAGCCCCTGTAGTGGGGCCATAAAAGGGCTGATGATTGATGATGATGATACCCTCATTTAGAACTACTCAATACGGCTTTGAGGTTCTCTTTGGTTGTCCAAACCTTGTAGCTGTACAGGAAAATGGACCAGATGTAGGGATGGGGTATTTTAATATGCAAGGAAAGTCTTAGATTTTTGTTGATCTTGTCTAAAGAATTGCGAACTATTTCAGTATGAGTTTTTTTCTCTAAGCCAGTTTCATTGATTTTATAAACTTGTTTAATTATATATGATGGGTGTATATGATGGTTATATATGATGGATGTTGTACACTTCAAACAGCTATAATAAAACTGTTGCTCTACTATATAACTTAAATAGCACTTAGTAACGATTTGTGCTAGCAGAGTAAATTACAAGAAAGTATTATCAACATTTAGAACTACAGTGATTTTTAAGAACATTTATATTATTCACAGGCCAGATTTATACCGAGTTTCGGGAAAATTTGAGTTACTCGATCGTATACTTCCCAAACTGAAACAAACAGGACACAGGGTGCTAGTGTTCTGTCAGATGACACAGTGTATGACGATTATGGAGGACTATCTCTCTTGGAGAGGATTCCAATACTTGAGGTAAGAGTTAGAATTAGACATTGCACGACGGAAGTATTTATCTTTTCAAATTCCTGTTTGATTATACAAATGATGGTGGTGCCATCTGTATTCCATGATGGTTTTTGATTTTAGACTTGATGGTATGACTAAAGCTGAGGACCGCGGAGAACTGCTGAAGAAGTTTAACGACGCTAATTCGGATTACTTTATGTTCCTTCTGTCAACTCGCGCCGGAGGACTCGGTCTCAACTTACAAAGTGCCGATACCGTTATTATATTTGATTCTGATTGGAATCCACATCAGGTAAATAAAACAGAAATAGTAGAGAATGCACAAAATTCACTAATTCCTTAGAAAATTATGTCTGTAAATACATACAATAACATTATCACATAAGTAAGAAATCATATTGATATTGGATAAAAAAGTTATAGTCACCATTTTGTAACTCAGGATCTTCAAGCCCAAGATCGTGCACATCGTATCGGACAGCGAAACGAGGTGCGCGTACTAAGACTCATGACTGTGAACTCTGTTGAGGAAAGAATTCTCGCTGCTGCTAGGTTAGTTGAAATTACACGTAGCATACTTCCTCTTTTTGCAATTTAGTTTTAAATGTAAGTTTGACATAGTATGGTACAGCGCTCCAATTTTATTTGCATATAAATATATGTACATTATAATATCATTTCATTGTCTTAAAAGTTATACAGGGTTATTTGTGAAATACTAGAAACCTGAAATTCCTAGATAAAACCATAAACAACATTTGATCTACGACTTTACATACATCCATACATCAACACCTTGAGCAAAAAATTTTTATTGCAGTTTTTTAGTGCTATAGTGACATCTATTTATCCACCTTTTATTCATAACGAAAGGACGACCCTACGCTCGCACAATAATTACATGTTAGAATGAGATGCGCTTAAAACATTCTACGAGACATTATTTCTTGTTTTTTTAATTTAAAATCCATGTTGTGATTTTGGCCATCTTATACTGAAATAACCCTGTATATTTAAAAAAATATGTTTTGTTACAGTATAATTTATTCCAAAATAATCTACCAATATTTCAGTTAATACTAAGTTAATATTTTGAACATAGGTACAAATTAAACATGGACGAAAAAGTTATTCAAGCCGGTATGTTCGATCAAAAGTCGACAGGGTCTGAGCGACAACAGTTCCTTCAAAGTATTTTGCATCAAGACGGAGACGACGAAGAGGTAAATACAATCAGTCTCATAAAAAATAATAATTTATAAACGTGCTAACCAAATATCACCAATTTTTAATTGGTTGCATATTATTTTAACAGGTTATTGACTACATAGTACTATGTATATTTTTAGGGCCCATGAAAAGAAATTTAATTTTATTGTTACGATAAAATGTTATTATTTATGTATTAAATTAAATTTATGAAATAAATCAAATAATTCTTATTGTAGATAGAAACTTTAAAAAATCCTTATATTCAGTAATATAATAAAGATAATTATATACAGGAAGAAAACGAGGTACCGGATGACGATCTGATTAACGAGATGATAGCACGATCAGAGGAAGAATTGGAGATTTTCAAAAAAATTGACCAGGAACGAAAGAAGACTGAGACTCAGTCGCGACTCATTGAAGAGTGTGAACTCCCCGACTGGCTCGTGAAGGATGAAGATGAAGTTGTGTGCAATAAGGTTTGAAATACATCACAGCTTCCTATTATCTTATTTATTAATTAAAGATATTTGTAAAAATATTTTTTCTGTAATAAGCATCAATGCTGTATACTTATTTCTTTGTATTAATATAACAAAACTGCTGTTGAAACTTTATTGAATGAATAAATAAATGAAATTGGATTTAAAATAAAAAAAAGCACCTACTAGTACTAGATGTATAATATTGAGCTTGAACTGATTGTATGATCATTATCAGGGTAAAGGTTGGAACTTCTTGGAAAATGAAACGCTGGGGCGCGGGTCGCGGCAGCGCAAGGAGGTTGATTACACAAATTCACTCACCGAGACCATCGACGAGGAGTTCGAGGAGGACGAGGAAGAGGACGACGACGACGATGACGCGGTGCTTGATAAGAGGAGGAAGAATGGACGGAAGAGACGGTGGGTATCGTTGTCTACTGTAAAACTTCGTACTAATTGACATGACACCTGATTTAGTTCTAAATTTCTTATCATTCTTATATCTTTTTTTTTACATCATATCCATGAAGATTATGTGTGAATCATAAATTGTTGAATGCGTTTCTTTGGAGTCGCATTAGCATTTCGAAAATAGACTTAATTTCCTTATCAGTGAAATAGAATAGGCCTTCAGGTGTCATGTTCATTTGTATGAGTAATATGTACCTAGTAGAAATATTGTAGCTAATATATTTAACATTTAATCTACTGAGTGTAGTTTTCTTTCGATAAAGTATACTTACTGTGTAATATATATAGTTTCTGATAGATTATTTGTGTTTATATGTTTGTCAATATTCAGCATGTCGTTTACTAGCTTCATTTTGTTTATGTTACAGTCATCAAGATGATTCTGACGAGGAAGAGGTAGCAAGTTCGTCAAAAAAGAAAAGTAAAACGGAAATTAATCAGTTGAAGAGACATATGAAAAATATTATGAAGAAAGTGATTGATTATATGGATGAGTGAGTTTTGATGAAGTTAATAGATATACGGTCATTTGCACAAACAAAAACTAATGAAAATGTTAATGGACGTTTTGATAGTTAGACGAGGGCATGGGGGCGGATATATGAGACAGTGGCAGAAAGCATAACGTTTATATTTTTATTTTTTATTCACCTGTCCATATAGATACATTCGATTTCCATAATTGTATTTTTTTTTTCAGAGGAGGACGCGTGCTTTCAACGCCTTTTCGAAAACTACCCTCTAGAAGGGAGTTACCAGATTACTATGACATTATCAAGAAGCCATTAGACATCAAAAAGATTTTGAACAGGATTGAAGATGGGAAGGTAATTTTTTGACAACTAGATTTATGTAAAAGTTATGAGATTATATCCATTGGGGTATAAATAATATTATTGGGGTATAATATACAATACCGTATATGTTTTGGAGTGTAATATTTTGTGGCGCTAAAGCCACTGGTTTTATAATAAAGGATGCCAATTGTGACAATCAGTGCTGTAATTAGAACAACTGAGATCTGTGACAAATTTGTTAATTACCTTAAGAAAAAACGTCATATTGTAATTTTTAGTAAAACTGAGATAGCTGTTTAGTAACAGTGAATTTGTGTCCATTTTAGTTAAATATTTAATTTTCACAAGCATAGATATAGCACATTGGGAACGCTTCTTTATTCCAGCATGGGTTGCTCTATCTATCAAAATTAATATACACTTTCAAATGTTGCAGTATAATGATATTTCGGACCTGGAAAGAGATTTCTTCACACTTTGTGCGAACGCGCAGACATATAATGAAGAAGTGTCTTTGATATACAAAGACTCCGTGCGACTGCGCAACGTGTTTATTGAAGTCCGCCGACGCTATGATAATGGACAAAATTCAGACGACTCGGACGAAAATGAAAAAGGTAATGTATTCAATGAAACACTTTATTCGAATTAGCCGTCATTCCCAGCGTACGGGAAAAGGAAACCAATCATGACTTTTGGAATAAAAAGTAGCTCATCCTTTTTTTTATTTCTTTTGTTAAGGAACAAACAGTTATACATTTTACTTCTCATAATAAAATATAGTACACGTTTCTAAACCTTAGGTTAACCTTCGTTAATAATGTTAATAGGTTAACCTTCGTAATTAAAGAATGCACTGAAAATTATCACTACACAGAATTTGATTTTATGATTTTAATTTGATACCATTATGGCACTCCGCTACGGTAAGAAAGAATGACGAATAAACAAACACATTTTCGTATTTATAATATTACTAAAAATTAAAATAGTTGTGTAGTTTAAAAGATCTCGGCGCACAGACAGCGGGAAGCGACTGTTTTATATTGCATATAGATTTTTCAGTAGATTAAAAGCTTTCCTTATAATATTAGTATGTATTACAAATAAAAATATTAATTAAAAAAGTTCTTTTGTGAAAAAAACTAATTTCCTATTCTCTAATTTCTCTAACTTCAATTTAGAAGCAATACTTTGTTTTTTTACAGAAGATGAAGAATCTGATGGGGAGTCAAATAGATCAGTGAAAATGAAAATAAAGTTAAAAGGCAAAAGCAAGGGAACACCCGGACGAAAACGTAAACAGCGCAAGTATATTTCTGACGATGAAGAGTATGAAGTGGACTGAATAAACGATTATAAATTCTTTTATCTAAATCTATTCAGAAGATCCATATTATAGAATTTTATATGTAAGTTAAAATGAGAATTTTCTGTCTTGAATCATTAATGGTTTCAGATCATTTAAATGTTTTAACTAACTTTAATAGATAAGACATTGGTATTGTTTAATTAAAATGTAGTAAACGAGTAAGTATTTAAATACAACTCTCATGGTATCAATGATATGAATTAGTGATATTTTAATTAAACAGATAATAGTAAAGTATTTTAATTATTAAGTAATTAATATCATACTTTTATTTCTTATTCATTGTATTATTTAAAATTTCATAAAATCGTACATTTATTTTAATGGTCCGACATTATTAATTTCTGTGGTTTGGTTTACAAACTGTTTATTTTACAAATAGATGACATGTTCACTTACTTGACCAGAGGTAAATGTAAAATTTTCTGTGTCAAAATTAATAAATGTCTTTTAGTGTGAAATAAAAGAATCCAATTCATGAAGATTATTTTATTGTTTTGTAAAGAAATATCCGTCTTCATCTAAACGTCTTCTTTTTAATTATTGGTGTTGCCCTTGTGGACTTCGCCAGAATCCAGTGTTTCTCAGTTCTCACGATTTGGTATCAAGGAATAGGCGTTTCCGCGCATCATCGTTTTACCTGCGGTTTTCCCGCGTAAGTTATTAGACTATGTAATCCGCCAAGAATGCTTTTTCCCATAGTTGAAAGAATTTAAAATCGATCTAGCAGTTTCGAGCCTATCCAATGCAAACAAACAAAACAAATAAATATTTCCTTTTGTAAGTAATATTATTATTTAGATATTTATAGTAATTTGTAGATAAATCAAGGGGGTTCACCAAAGAATTTATAGATACATTGATGACCATATCAATAGACACTCGAGTGACTCGATAGATTACAATAGCCTATCATTTAACTGCCTCAACCTACCCAATTGGTGTATGTGTAAAAATTATCTATAATTACAATAACTTGAAATCTTCAAAACGTCCTAGTTTGATTACCGAACTGAGAACTAGTTATTTTTTAATATATGAATGCAGTTTTTCCACTTTTCACTTAACTCAATGAAATTGTTCCTAAGAACAGATCTTTGTAATCATTTCTCAATTACTCGTCTTTTGATGGAAAGTTAAGCAGAGTTAAAAACAATTATTATTTATTTCCCGATGGTACCACATAATATGACTGTGACGTCATTTTTATATGGGTATTGTATCAATGAAACAGTTTGCTGAGAAGATTTAAATACCTCATGTGAAACATCCCGGCTTCCGCGACCCTAACTTAGATGTGCTCATCTTTCGTTGTGAACATATTAGCAATTATCATCTATTAGTGTAAGACTATACTATGGGATATGAGGCCGTAAGATATAGGTTGACGCCATACATTTTAGCGCTGTTTTGTATATTTACTTATCCAAATATTGACGACTCAGAACTCTTCAATTGCCCTTCCCTGGCCGAGAATCTGAATATGCCTATATCGTCACATACATACCGTGGTGCATATCATGGTTGTCAGTCGTCCCTACTTCTGTCTTTAAGTTTCGTGTGGCATAACATGGAGATTTATATGTTGAATGACGCAGCGATATATCACCGCTTAATAAATAAAATACCTACTTTATACTTTATTTATAATTATCAAAATTAATCTAAATATATATAACTTAAAGGTATATATAACTTAACGCACAGCCTAAAGCACTGAACGGATTGGCCTGTTTAGCATTGACGTAGATGTTATAACCTAGGCATCCCCTAAGAAAGGATTTTGATAAATTCTACATCCAAGGGGATAAAATAGGGGATGAAAGTTTGTATGAAACTTTGTCAATTTTAAACCGATCGGGCTGAGACTTTGCATGCATATGACGTAGGCATCTCAAAAGAAAGGATAAATTTCATCCCTAAGGAGCTAAAATAGGGGATGAAACTTTATTTTAGGTATTTTAATATATAATGAATAAATATTCGTTACAAATGCTGCTCAAAGTAACTTTACCACGCGGACGAAGTCGCAGGTAAAAGCTAGTTATAAGTATATTTGATCAATTTTGCATTCTATAGCATTGTGAATCTACTGGAAAATATTCTTGATGAAAATATTATTAATGGTTTGGCTGTTTGGGTGCAAAATGAAACAAGCGCTTGAAATATTCGTCAGAAATGCTCAGGATGAATGGAACAAGCGCTTGAAATATTCGTCGGTAATACAATAATTACTCAGGACCTAATAAGGTCCTGAGTGACTCAGTGGTTAGAGCAGTCGGATTGCGAAAGGTCTTAGGTTCAGTCCCATCCTAGAGTACTTGGGGCTGGTGGATTTTTTTTTCTTGTGACTTGATCATGACTATGTGAATCCCCCTAACCTGGCGACAAAGCTGGATCCGCCCCTGCGAGTAACAGTCCTTCCATATGAATGGAAATGAAATATGAAAAATGAATGATCACACATGCTGAATGCGGATATGTGGGAGTTATAACGTCTGTAGATACAACACCAACGGCTTTACGTCACTAAACCTCAACTTTATGATGATGGATGAAGAAATTGTTGAGGTATCTTACATAGGTCAAGTGATAAAAGAAAACATCATGAGGAATCTCTGAGAAACAATCAAGTTTTTGTGTTTATCAGAATTTGTATGGGTAAGTGCAAGGAGTGAGGTAAAATTTTAACATCAGATCAGAAGTTTTAGCAAAAAATATTGAGCTCATATGAATTGAAATAAAATTCTAACATTCATTTAATAATGCAACTATTTAATATGTATCTAAGTACACATGTAGAAAAAGTACATTAGTAAATGTTATATATCTGATCCTAAAGTTAGTCTTGCCTGTAAATCCAGTTGCATCTAGTGATTGTCTGTGATTCAAAGACCTTTTTTTTTAGACTTTGTATCTCCCCATTTGTACTGGACACCATGTACAGCAGACATATGCTTATTAAGACTCGGACTATATGAAAAACGTTGTGAACATGTAGGGCATGAGTAGGGTTTTTCATGCGAATGCACCCGGTGATGTCGCCGTGCTTCACCTTGTGTGTAAAATGTTACTTCACATAGCTTGCATTTATAAGTCTTATCACCTGCATGTCTGAAAGGCAAAAACCATAAAGTGAAGTTACATAATTGATAATTATTATCATTATTTGATTATTTTTGCATGTTACTATATCTTTACCTTTTAAGATGTAAAATTAAACTTTTTTTTTCATGAGTTTTGTATCCACACAAGTGGCATTCTAATTTCTTATCACTGTTGTGTTTTTGCTTATGGTGAATTAATTCAGATGAAGTAACAAAGGTGTTGCCACAATCTTCACAATTGTAATTGCGTACATTATAATGTCTTTGAATATGTTCTTGTAATGATTGTTTAGTTTTTAAACCTTTGTGGCAGATATTACATATAAATTTACTGCTCTCATGAACAACAAAATGCCTCTTAAGAGTATATGCATGCTTGAATTGTTTTCCACATTTGGAGCAAGTGAAAAATCTTGTTTCATTATGTGTTTTAAAATGGGCCGATAGTCCGGACGACTGTGTAAATCGTTTACCACAATGACAAACATATGGACGATTACCATCATGTCTTCTCATATGATTTACCAAGGTTTGACTGTGGGGAGTGGAATATGGACAATTTGTGCAATGGTACTTACGATCTATACCAAACCCGGTCACTTTACCAATATGTTTTCTTTTTTGGTGCATTGTCACAATATGTTTTAATAAAGACGCATTCGTTTTAAGAACTTTACCACAACTGCTGCATTTAAAAGTTTCAGTAGACACCTTTAAAGTTTGTGATTCATCCAATAAATCAAATTCATTCAATGACGATTCTTTAGTTTTAGTTACTTTTAAAGAAAAAATAGCAAATCTCTCATCAAATGTTCGACACTTAATTCTAAAAGCGTTAGCTGTGTTTACTTCATTCAAACAAGACTTACAAATCACGTAAGGTAAATCACTTTGATATTTTAATTTAATATTGAAACATTCATAGATGTTATTTATTATTGTTTTAGATTCGTTTGAGGAAGTGAACAGTTCTAAAGCGTCTGTAGTGCTTTTTAAACATATTCTACAAACATCTTTCAAAGCCATTTCTTTCATTACGTTTAATATTTTGTTTTATTGATTTGTTAGTTCAAATCCGTGTTTCAAATGTTTGTTTTTAAAATAAATATTTTTTATCTTTTGGACGTCTTCAAACTTATCAATCTAACCTAGTATCTTTTTCTTAGTCTGTGACCTAATAAAACTATTAAAACAGTAAAAACTATCTTAGAAAACTATATAATCTGTGATCTAAACAGACTAGATTATTTTTTCAAAAAGGTTTTACTGGCCCTGGAAGTAGCAATGGGCGATTATTACTTAAAAAATTGTATTAGTTGATTGTTCAGCTTAGTCGATAAAAGTCGATTACAATTGATGTTATTCGATTGTTGTTAACAACTAAACCTTGCGGCGGCAGCGGGCGGCTATGACACGCTGCGGTTACCGTAATTACTTATTCGATTAATTTCTAGCGCAGTGCCATATTACTATGACCGTGCGTACTACTAATAGTGCGGTGCGGTGCGGCGTGCGCTGTGCTCGACTGCAGTTGCTATGTGATTGGCGCTAATACGTTATTTAGCTGTCTGTTTGAAAGTGAATCGACTGATTTGAGGTCACATCCATTCGATCGTCACAATGTAGTTGTTACTTATCTATACTATCGAGCGACGAATAATGTTGAAATATCATACAAACAAACCTTGAAATGTACCATCGCTAACCTACTACATCTTTTTAGGGTTCCATACCGAAAGGGTAAAAACGGGACCCAAACACTGAGACTTCGCTGTCCTTCTGTCCATCCATCCGTCCGTCTGCCTGTCACCGGGTGTATTTCATGACGGTTCATGAACGATGTTAACAAGACATTTGAAATTTTCACAGATGGTGCATTACTGTTGCCGCTACAATAAAACATTTAATGGGGCTCCCTTACAACAAACGTGTTTTTTTTGCTTCCTTTTTTTTAGTCCGATTCGCACTTGGCCGGTATTTTTTTATTCTTATTTATTCGGTACACAAACAGAAGTATAATTACATCAATAAATAAGTCATCACGTAACAATGCGGCATGTCAAGTTGCACTACCAATGACATGTGTACACAACATCATGAGACAGAATCAAGGCAAACATAATTTTGATTGGGTTCAAAATTCATGCATAATTAAAAAATAAATAAATAAAATTATTAGCTTTCATAATTAAGTGAATATATAAAAAATCCTCTGATCAACAAATAATAATAATAACTCCAAAACGATAATATAAAAAAAATCAATAAATTAAAAAATAACATAGTGTGGTAGGGGTTTATTTCGTACGATTATGTGACTTCTCTTTCTTAATAATATAAATACCGACTAATTACTCATAAAGTAAGCAA